TCACATTTCAAATCAAAGTCTATTCAAAGGACTCAAGTGGCGGGATTGAATTTAAAGAAAACAATGCCATTTCAATCACCAAAAAAAAAGAGAGGAAAGAACTTTTTGCCAAGTGATTTTTGGCTTACAATTAACCTCAGAAGTTAAGGGATTTGGCATTGAAAATAAATATATATAAATAAATATTGATTAAATACCCGAATTTCATGATTTTTGGCTTAAATATTTTGTATTTTCAAAGATCAGAACCTGCTGTGTTGCCAGGGCTTGGGGGTTGCCAGGATTTTCTGGGCCACTAATACCAATTGTAATCTAAATCCAGATCATAACTTACTTACAAGTAAGTCCCACAATGGGCTCTAGGTCTCAGGCTGTCTTATTCTCCTTCTCAGTCTTTGTATTTGCAAATCGAAATGCGAAGCTATTGTTGTTGCCGCTGGACATCGTCCTTGCCTGCGTGCGTGTGTGGGGAGTCCCCTTGTAGATGCGTGTATTATGTATGTGTGGGGGAAGTCCCCCTGGGCAATAATAACTTGTAAGTGCTGCGCCATACATGTGTGTGTATTATGTATTATGCAGGACTCGGGGACTGTGTCGGAGGTGCATTACTGCGAATTCCCTGCCTTCCCTCCCCCCAAGCCCCAAGCCAAAGTCAGTCAGAGTTGCATGTAGTCCTGGCAGTTCCCCAGCTGTTGAATGGGACATAAGTGCCGTCGTGCTTCGGTTGCAAAAACTCTAAGAGATTAGGGTGATATTTTGGAACCGGAACAGGACCAAACAGGACCCAGCAGGGACTAGAGTTGTTACCATAAAATTAATATTTTAAGCCAGCATTTTAGCTCAGAGAAATCTACTAATCGTTTATCTTTAACTCATATGTGCAAGGGTATACAAGCTTCAGTTGAACGAGAAGTTGATTTTCTTTCTTGTTCCCAGTCTTTTTTTTTTTCTTTTCTCTTTTTTTATGGCACTGCTTTCACCTGAAAGCGCTTGTTGACGCTCCCGTGGACAAGCGAAAGCCGCAACAAGGCATAGCGAAAATATACGCACGCACTTCCCAGGACATTCGGGGGAAAGGAAGGAAGCAGGGAAGAGAGCATCAGGAAGCCATGATAAAGAATATATGACAATGATGGAGGCGCCTGTGCGTCTGTGTGCCTCGTGTTCGTGTTTGTTTAGTTCGTGTCTGTGCCAGTGTGTGCTTGTGCTCGTGTGGATGAGTGACTGGCCCACTTCCGTTAACGACATTCGCTTCAATTTGGTGAATTAAGTCTTAAAGCGTAATTGAGTGAACATTTTCATTGAACCATAAGTGTGTGTGGAGCGTAGAGTCGATTTTTCAGTTACAGTTTCAGAGTTTCAGTTTTTTTTTTTTTTTCCTGTCCAGCGGAAGGAAGGGACAGTGTAAATCAACTTATCGGTATGTTAACTCTCTCTCTCTCTCTCTCTCTCTCTGTCTCTCCTCCACCGGAAACCTGGCCATGTGCCGGAAGTGCCACAGCCATTGATCAGCTTGTGTGCCATTGCTGTTCATTCTCAACAAGAAGTGCCTTTTTGCCACTTAGCAATGGAAGTTAACTGGCAGCAAGGGAATGCTTTCGTTCCCGCCTAAAAGATACTGTCATCCAGGACACAATAAAATGGAATTTCTCCTTTTTGGTTCTATTTGGGTTTCGGACAATGACTGCAAACATTTTATTACCTGGACAAGCCTTCAGAATCTGACGAAGCAGAAAAAATAAAAGAAGATAAAAAAAGAACGAGTCCTGCTCTCGTTTGAATTTTATATTTTAATTTAAATTTAATTGCATTTATTTTGGAATGCTTTAATCTAAAATAAAGTTAAGGTGAAGAGACATAGTACTCCGTTTCCGTTTACACCTACAACTGCATCCTGGCGGCGAAATGCAAATCCTAGCAAATTGCAAATACTGAATTCCCCCAAGTCCCCTGTTGACACACGTGTCGGGAGGAGAAGCCCATCATATAGGCATATAGGATATGGGATATGGGATATGGGAATCGGGGGGTTTGGCTATAACAAGCAAGCAGCAACAGTTATCATTATGCTAGGGCCAGCCAGTAGCCCCGGAGTCCTTCGGTCCTTTGCACATTTGCAGCTAAATCACGTACTCGGTAAATGTGCTACTAATGAGCGCAGGCAGAGAGGGCACCGAAGGCACACACAGGGTCAACACTGTTACAAAAACGGAGAGCTGATAGAGGTGGGACTATGATAGGTTTTAGAGGAAATAAATGTATAAATAAATATATGTATCTATATTTCACATTGAATTTGTGGTAGATATCGATTCATGTGCTTCACTTTATTGAATATGAAATAAGCATGACCTTAGGGCATGCATTCCCAATTTAGCAGGTGGTAAGCAAGAGATTCAGGTGGCAGCATTGTAGGCTGCTACTTTCTATATAGAATTCTGTACTCTTTACTCGCATAAGAAAACATGTAAAATTAAATAAATACAAACAAAATATACATTTATTATTGTACAAATTGTTTACAGTGCATGACAGCATCGGCAGCCATGGTGCCTAATGTCTCTGATTTTACAAATGATTGTCGAACGCCCCCGTCCCCCTTAACCCATACCTGGGGCGGCGCTCCCACCTTTAAGCTGGACCACACACACACCTCCACATTCCCACACACACTGACATTCCCAGTCGATTCAATCATTGTGTGCCTGTGTGTGTGTGTCTGTGTAAACAGACTCTAAAAATAAATGCTCATTTCTGTGGGGAGGCCAGGAACAATGCCCCCGTTGCGGGTTAATGCTGCTACGGGGGCTAGCAGGGGGTTAATGGTGGCCCTGTGGCACTACAATGCCCCAGCTACACACACACACACACACACACACATGCACCTAAAGTTTTCAACAATTGGTCCAGCGCCTGAAAGCAGGCAAGCCAGTACAATGGCCATTGAGACGCCTTTGGAATCAGAGATACCAAGTGCCAGGACTCTAATCAGAAGGCATCATATTTTTTGACATCAATCAGCTAATTGATTGGGAATATATGTATTAAAAAATATATCTATGTATATATATATATATTTGTTCTTGTTATGGAGTAAATATGTGCTTTAAGATATTGGTTTTTCCACATTTTCGAGTAGATTTGATTATTTTCTAAAAGTCTTAGATTTTTTGTTTAAAACATTATTAGCTTTTCTTCTATTTTAATACGTTTCTATGAAAAACATTTTACAAAAACATATTAAAAAAGAGGAAAACATTAAACATTTTTAAATTATGATAGAAATATGAAAAAATGTTTATAAAAAACATAGTAAAAAATATTGTTTCAAAGAAAATATTATATATGCTGAGATACTAAATAAAGTATACTTTTACAAATACAGAAAATAATAAATAATAAATAAATAATATTAAAATAAGAAGTAAAAACTAACTAAAAATGTAAAATTAATTAATTAATCATAGCATTAAAGTTTATTTGATATTTTTGGCTAGTTTTAACTTTGTAAAGGTATTTTTTACTTTTTACCAAATACATTTTTTAATAAAATAATAAATAATAAAATACTATAGAATAAAACATAATAAATATTTATATTTCAATTAAATACTATTAATATATATTTATTAAATTTAATTTATACTTTATTTAGCATCTTAGCACATTTAATAATTTGTTATTTTGAATTATTTAGAATTTGTTTATATATTTTTATAGGTATACTCTAACATTTTTAGGTATTTATTTGAAAAACAGTCAATGGGCACACTAAACCAAGCGTATAAATTTAAAAAAGCCAAGAAAAAAAAATTTTTCCTAATAAATATGGATTGCAAAATTTATAAAAAATTAAATGAAATCCTAAATTAACAAAAATCCTAAACATTAAATTAAATGCAAATTCCTTTACCCATAAAAGTATGCTTTATTTTTCAATAACCCAAAACATACAATATTTTCTTGTACAAAAACCAATTAATAACCAAGTAATGCTCTCCCTAGTGAACTCTCTACTCAATTGTAACAGGAAATCAAGTTTCCCCCGACAACTAATGAAAACTAGACATTTAAATTGTACTTACCTGGGCGCAGGTGACAAGCAATCGAGGCACAGGAGAAATCAACAAATAACAAACGGAGGCAATTGAAAAACTGAAAGTGAGACAGACTCACACTGAGACTGAGACTCAGACTTTGCCGTCGCTTTCGACTTGGTCTGAACTTTGCGAACAATTCAAAACTATTTAAAGGGAAATGGCGATAGAGGCGTGTTTCCGTTTCCAATGAGTTTGCCAAGTTGTTTTTCCCCCAATTGAAAACAAACTCCTGGGGAAAAGTGCCCGCCAAATTTTCACAGAATTTTTGATTGGATTTACTGGGTAAAGTGAGTTGCCAGCATTAAAGCGAAAAGTAATGTTTTGCGAGACACCAGAGAATTGTAGGTTAAACTTGGGCTTTGAAGTAAAAATCGCAAGGGGAGTTGGCACATCAAATTCGTTAATAAGCGAATTTTAAATAAATTAAATCATATGAATGTGAAAACTCTTCGAATTCATAGTGAATGAATAGTTTTTGCTCGTTTAATGTATATATTTTTGAGGAGAAAATATAGTTGATTTGTTTATTGTTGATTTACACCGTGTGTGGCTTTGTGTGGCATACAATACATACGTAATTAAATGCGGATAAAAGTCCTTCACTTAAAGGTAAATAAATGTACTAAATATATACTAAATTGGGGGTAAATGCTATGCAATTTATTTATTGCACTTTGGGGGTTTTGCAAATTGCATAACAATTGCCCCGACAAAACATTAAATGGCAACAATTTTTTTGGCCAAATTGGAGGCCATTATTAAGTGCATTGAATGGAAATTATTTTAAATCGAATAATAATAAAAAAAAAAGAGATAAAAAATATATAATATAAAATGTAATATAAAATATAATAATAATAAAATAATATATAATCAAATTTTATAAATTTTAGTACTCACATGATTGTTTCTGTTCTCTCAATTTGGATTTCCTTGGCGGTTTAGCTCTCTTTGCTTTCTGCTTTTGCTTTGGGCATTTAAACTTGCTCGGTTACTAGCCGATATTAGCTGATATTTTGTGTTGATATATAGTATATAGTATAAATCATCTGTTGCTTTTCAGGTTCTGGTTCCTTCCTCGTTCTCCTCCTCCTCTCTGGGGCTAAATATCAGGATAGGATCAGGTATTTATTTGGCTTTCAAGGCTTCCTGTTTAGGTTCAGGTTCGGTTTCAGGTTCAGGTAGTTTGAGTTTAGCTTCTTTGATAACTATTGCATTTTTGTATATATATATTTTTGGTTTTAGCACGCGACAAAACAAATACAAGTTCACGTTTCTTTGACACAAACACTGATCTTTGGCACTTTCAAAAAAAAGTATATTGTCTTGACTTGTTGCATGGGTTTACAGTTTCGCTTCTGCTTGTGCTTTCTGGTTTCTGCTTTCGCTTTTAGTTGCTTGGATGCTTTGGCTGCTCTCCTGTTGCTCCTTGCTGTGTGTGGCTCCTTGCTGTTGCTTCTGCTGCTATTTGAGAGTCGCACAACCGTTGGGCTTGGATGTTGAACAGCATCTGTTGCTCCGCCGCTGGCCGACTGACGAGGACACCTCGTGTCGCTCGCTCGCTTTCGACTCGTCCTTACGCCCCGAAGGACATCTGCCACCCCAGCCCACGCACACACCCTCCTCCCCCAGCAGCAGCAGCACCCACAGGCACAACAAGTGGAAAGTGTGTAACTGTAACGTCGACCATGACGACGACGCAGCAACAGTCGCAGCAGCAGCTGCTGCGAAGACACCAGCAACAGGCTTACGTGGCCAGCACCAGGTGTTGCTCGGGCTCGGGGGTGGCTCTGGCCCGAGTACGAGCACGAGTACGAGTTTTGAGTCCGAGTATGAGTACGAGTATTCGAATCGCATTTGCATTCGTAATTGTATTCGTTTTGGAGGGGAAATCGCTCAGCTCAGCTCTCGCTGAATCGCTGACTGGAGGGGCTAAAGAACACGCTGTTGCTTCTGGATTGAGTTTCACTCACTTGGTTTTCGGGTTGTATATTGAAGGGAAAAGTCCGGATACCCTCAATATCATATTGAAATTATTCGAAAAATTAATTTTTCGAATTTTAAAGAATCTGAAATTATAAAAAAATAAAAAATAAAAAAAAAAGCATTATTATAAATCGGATATAATCAATGTTTAGTTTGATATTATATATTATATCAAAGATATCATAAAGTTTGACGTTTCGAAAATATCGAAAATGGAAATATCGAAATTAATTGTACTTTACGTTAAAATATCGATATTATTAGGCAGTATCCATATTATATCGAATAAATCGTCAAGTTTGATATCACGAATTTGGAAATATCTAAAGAATAGTACTAAACGATAGAAATATCTATATAATCAGTCACTTGGTCACAATTCGGAAATATCATTACCGTAATATTAGTATTATTTATAAATTATTAAAAGGGAAAGTTGGGTCCACATCATATTACAACGAAAATGTCGTTTGGTTTGATAAATGAAAAAAAAAAAAATATATTTTATTTTTAAATATTAATATTATCAGACAATAATGATTAAATATATATCCACAACAAAAGTTTAGTACTCTCACTATATAAATATATATTTTATTTTTAAATATTAATATTATCAGACAATAATGATTAAATATATATCCACAACAAAAGTTTAGTACTCTCACTATTTTAGCGAAACGGCTGGGAATATTTTAATGTAACAAATATTAAAATGTTATGCGATAATGTCATTTTCATATGCTTTTATTTACAATCAGAAATTTAGCGTAGTTTATTTTTTATTTAATTTTAATAAAGTGTCGCACGCGAAAGGTCGCACGCGACAGTTTTAATCATCATACTTTGCATGTAATTTTTTACTATTTAAGTAAATTAGAAGATCATATATCCATTTTATTTCGACTTTTTGCATTCTTCTTGTGATGTTAGTAAACAACAGTCAAAGCATAATGCATCGGTTTGGATGTAATTATCAAAAGAAAACAGGCCCATTTTTATGATGTTTTTCATCAAAATAATGAAAAATCGTGTTTGCGCGAATATGCATTCGAATATTTCGAAATTTGTTTAGAATATGATAAAGCCCTTCAAATTTAATCAATTGACCTTTTCCTAATGTTACTATGTTGGAAAAAAACATTTTAGAGAAGTTTTAGTTTTTTGGCCGCGGTTGACATTTCTGTGGAAATGCCCATATATTATATTTCATATATATATCGACAGGACAGGAAAGTCTTGTATATAGAAAAATATATTATCAAAATAATTACTATTCCAACATATTTAAATTATTCTAAATATAAGGTTTGCCTTGATATTTTTAATAGAATATCGTTTTATCGCGCATATATTGCAATATTTAAAAATATCGATACGTATAGACATATATACATATATATTATCTGCCTGCTAGGACTATGTCCCATCAATCGCTGAATAGGCCCAGCTGAAGGCTACTGCCTGCTTCCATCGCGTCGGCGGACATCGGATGTCTGATCATTTCGATTGGCGAGCGATTGAAGATGCGGCAGACAGAGACACCTGCCGGAAGGGGAGGGGGGAGGAGGAGGAGGAGGAGGAGGAGGAGGAGGAGTAAGGATGCGTTGCTGCTGCAACGCCTACGCCAGCGGCTTACCTGTTGGACTCAAGCGCCGTACGGGGCGAATGCGCAATATGCATTTGGTCAACAGGTTAGCCTTGAGCCACAGGAGAGCCAGGAGCAAGGCCCCGAACCACCAAGGACACAGTTTCGTTTGCCGTTGTTGAGGGGACATTCAGCGCATGCCCCAGACGCGAAGGCGAAGGCAAAGGCATCGAAATAGCGGCGGAGCGGTCTCGTCTCCGCCGTGATTGGTCAGTGGCATTCAGCGGATCGGTGGTGGATTTTGGCGGGGCAATCGCCGAATCTCAGCGTGGAAGTCTTTGGCTTCGGAGGAAGACTTCTTTCAAGGAAATTTGGCCATAACTTTGACAGAGTTTTGCTGCGATTTGTAAGAATATATATTTTAAATATAATTTATTAAAGTTTGAACAGGTTGCTAAAAAAACATCGATTCATGTGGACTTTATCGATATTTGCTGCTGCAATAAATCGATAATTTATACAAAATATTTGAAAAATATTATCGAAAAAATTAGTTGAATTAAAACTTAAAATTGGTTTGAATTTTTTAAAATTTGTTGAAGGCAGCTTTGATAGCTTTAAAAAGTCTAGCGATATTTATATCAATAGATTTAAAATGTTTGAATTTTTTATTTTAAAAATTTGTTTATTTTAAATGTCTTTATTATATTTTAATTATTATATTTTTTAATTTGATTTATTCCTTTAATAACTTATATAGAAATGAATAAAAAATAATAAAACAAAATACATTATCGATTAAAAATATTAAAATTAAATGATGTCTCAGCTTAAAGTATTTTTTGAGTATTAATACTTCTTATCTAAAAAGAATATAATATTATAAACCTTGTTTAACAATCTTAAACTTTGCTAAATTACTCCCCTGATTAATAACTTAATAAATTACCTATAAAAAATGAAATATTATAAATTATTCAATTTTTTAAAAATTTTCCTAAACAAATTTAAAATAATACAACTAAAAAGATGTAATTGCAGACTCATTAAGGATTTTACGTATCCTGGAGCAGCCTCCCTTTGGCCTTAGACTGCAGTTGCAACACGCAACTCGCATTACACATCCGACCCGTTGGCCATAATTTTACGACTTTCTGCATCCGCTCTGGGTTCCCCCGTCCGGGGTATTATGTTCAATTTTATGTGTGTACCCACGCCTTGGCAACAGGTCAAAGTGTGTGTCCCCTTGGAGGGTCACTAAACAAAATGGGACTTGGAATTGGGGGAAAGGGAGTGGATCTGCGATTAGGCTTGGGAACTGGGAACTGGTAAGTAAGGGAATGCATCGGAAAATAGTACGTGAAGCATTCTCATTGCCATGACAGCCAATTGTTAGCCGCATGTGTTGAATCGGGAAACGAGCCACGTAAACACCTGAGCCAACTGAACTGGAAACGGTCCAGTTTTGCCGCCTAATTGGATAGGTTACACAACACTTGATAGGTTGATGGGGGATGGGGAATAGAGGGGGGATGCCTGGATAGAAAGGATGTTGCAGAAAAAAAATGATGCCCTTAAAAAAGGGGAGGAAAGAATGCAAAATCAGTTGGCAAGGAGCAAAGAGTCCTTATTCTGTCTTGGGTTTATAATTTAAATAAATATAATATGTATTATATAAGCGAAAACATAGGATATTATATATTTTAAAGCCAATCAAGGTATTATATTAAATATTATATATTTAAAAATATAACTTCTTAGTATAATAAATTATTGAACCAAAGAAAAATTAATCACATATTAATTGATTAACAAAAAATTGAGTTAAAAATACTATTTTTGTTCTATAATAAACCTTAAAAAAATGCAACACAAACATTTATATTAACGGGAAAATACTCCCAGTAAAATATTCTTAGTAAAAACTACGGAAATCCCTATATATCCTTGATCCCTTTCCCTCTCTATCCATTGGCCCTTCAGCAAATAAGACAACCATATATTGTAAATGCATTAAAACCTGATCTGGGGTCATAAAAACCGTCTGCCAAATGCCCATTATGCACCACAGTCACTCGCACAAAATATATATACAGGCTAAAGGCCACAGGATACGGGCTACAGGATACAATATATCCGTAATAGATGCAGATGCACAAGCCGAATGCAAATACATTTTACAGGCGCAACATATGCCCATGCAAATGCAATTCGTTTTCCATTCAGAAAAGAAGAAGAAGATTTGTTATGACCAGCAAGTAAATAATATAAATGCCAATAACATCTGTATATATCTGCTGTATTGGGAGAAAATGTGTAGCCGAAAAAAAATTATAAAAGACTTTAATAAAAACAAGAACGGAAGCTAACTTCGGCACGCCGAAGTTTGTATACCCTTGCAGATTGGTTTCGATGTTTATATTATAGATTTAAATGCTGAAAACACTCACAAAACAGAGTTTCATTACATTTTACCTATACATATTATGTTTACAGTTTGACAGTTACAGTTTTACATTCCCAGCTTTATATATTTTATACATTTACCGATCGCTTCTATGGCAGCTATAAGATATAAACAGAACTAAAAGAACTACCTAAAAAAATAGTTTTAAGCAAATGTTTCCGATTTGAAACTAGATTTTGTATTTACTGATCAATTTGAATAATAAACTATGTCCATCGTTCTTCGGTCATCTTCCTTCTTGTGATCACTGCAACTCCTGGGCCTGAGACTGGGACTGGGACTGTAACTTGAACTGGAACTGAGTCTGAGTCTGGGTCAGTACGGTATTGGAGGTCGATGGCTCTCTCTTCAGATCCGACTGGGCTTGCGAATTCAGCGCGATCTTGCTAGGTACTATATTCTCCGAGGCGAAGGCCTCCCTGAGGGCCACACGATAGTCGCCAGAGTAGCGCATGTGCTCTAGGAGGCGGCCTTGGCTATCAATAACGTATAGATATTGCAGCTCCCGCTCTTCGAGGGGCTCGGTGGAACTTGGCTTGGACTTGCTCCTTTGGCCCTGGTTCTGACCCTGCCCCTGACCCTGGGGCAGAACCTGTACGCGATCCTTCAGCGCATAGCCGCCCAGTATGAGCTCAGGAAAATTGTTGATCGGTGGCACAAACACATTAATGCGACTCTGAGACATTTTGCAAGAGTTTGGAATTAACAAGCAAAATTTTATTAATTATTTGAGAACAAAAATCAAAGGAACGTGCAACACACAAACAAGGGAAAATACAAACGAAAGTCCAATATTGACTGAAAGGCCACAGCATGCCTCAATTCCACATTAAATTGTATTATATTGTACAATAGAAAAAATAATAATAACTTTAGCTGAAAATTAATAAGCTGACAATACACAGGCCTTGCTTGTCTGGTTACAATTTATTTATTAGTATTTTTTTAATATTTTTTGCGCCCTCGGCATTTGCAATTTTAATTAAAACAGCAACTAATTTGATGACACACAAGCCTCCTCTACGCTCAAGCTCATTATTAATATTCTTCCATCAATTATTTGTGTCAATAATTAATGAGATACATATGTGCTGCATTTGATCAAATAATATCCACACTGATTGCCTCTGACAGTCATAATTTTGGTCTATTGTGTTCGTTCGTCCTGTCGGCCTCGTGTTTATTTACACATTTGCATTTCCGACCAAATTACGCGGCATTTTGGAACTAGCAGCGAGGGCGGATTGAGGGTTTATAGAAGAGGAATTGGAATCCAGGAAGAACAGAGTTTCTTTCGCGAAGTTTGCTCAGAAACTCTCAGAGAGAAACGAAGCTTTCGTTCGCTACTTTGCTTTTCTCTCTCTCCGTTTAGTTGTATTGGAAGAGAAGAAATACACGACTCTCTCAGCAACTCTCATTTGCTACTCTTCTTTCTTTTGTATTTTTAAATTAAAAAAAAAATACTCTCTCGTTCGCTACTTTGCTATTTTTCTCTCTCTTTTAATTGTAAATAAAGAGAAAACTCTTAGAGCGAAACTCACTCTATTTATTATTTTCTCTCGTTCTCTATTTGTTGTAGACAAATCTATATTATGTTACATTTTATAACTTAACTTCCAAACTAGTTGTATTTACATTTTTAAAACTTTTGAGTCTGTCGTCTTTCATATTTGTTAATATAAATTTAATTTCTGATGCTCAAGCATGTTTCCAGCTCGTCAGCTTTATTTTAAATTAAAAAATGTCTCTAACAATTTAGGGTATTATTATATTCTAATATACTTTGTAGATCTTAATGTTAACTTTAATTTCGTTAAAAAAAAAAAACAAAAAATACCTTTTAATTTAAAACTCTTAAAAGGTAGATAAAAAGTTTCTCTGTAAAACTCCCAATTTAAACAATTGATTTGTGTGTCTTTTCGGTAAAAGAGTGCAACTTTTTTTTTTGTAATTGACATGCCACAATGTTGATTATGCTTTTTGCCAGCTTGCCCGAACCGAGGTCCTCCTGTCGGATTGGATACATCCAGGGACAGGGACAGCGTTTATCGAATTAACATGTGCGCGAATGCACAATGGAATCGAATGTCGCGGGCGGCTGCTCCTTGGGCAGGACGAGTAGTAATTGAGTCAGGACACAAATCAAAGTCCAGTACCGCTGAGGCGCCTTTAAGGATAATTATAGGAAAGCCAGGGAGGGAATCGCATCAAAGCAAAAACCAGTAAACTACGCGGTCTAATGTAGCCGCAATTATCTATGACAATATATAGCGGCTCACATATCGTGTATATATTATATAACAGAGATTGAATTAATTAGAAGGACCTCCGCTGACAATTGTATTCGCATTAAAGGGCAAGGACAAGGACAAGGGATCCGTAGAAGGAATAGTACTAATATTAATAATGATATTTAATTTAATTAAAAATTTAACTGTATAAAAATATTAATAATAATAGTTTAATGTACATTTAATTTCTATTTTAACTGTATAAAATTATTTATATTAATAATTTAATTTAAATTTAATTTAAAATTAAACAGTATAAAATCTCTTTTTTTAATTTTAATTTAAACTTTATTTGAAATTATCTTAAAAACTCTTTTTAGATCTATAATTAAATCTTTTAATTGTTTTTAGGGTTCCAAGTTTCTATTTTTAAATTGTCATAAAAAATTTAAAATATATTTAAATGTTTTTCGTAAATATTAACTTTAGAAACATACATATATTTGCTATGCCTAGGGGCGACAGGCGCCAATTATGAGCGACAAATGAGTGAAAAATAACATCCTTTAGACCCCTGGCACATCCTTTTTCAGTGGCACGGCGAAAAACCACGGTCAATGTTTTTCACAAAGCACTAATTGGACACTCTTATGGCCTGGACAAAAACATAAACAAAAACAAAAGCAAAACAATAGCAACAATAACAAGGCGGGGAGGGACCGGAGAGCGGAGAGAAGAGCCATAATTAATTGGATTTGGTAAACAATTTGTACAGTTTCATTTTCAGGCTAAACGAAGTTAGTTGCCAGCAAAACTTTCGCAAAAACCCACCGACCAACCGACCGACCAGCCGCAAGTGCAGATAACCGCAGAGAGTCCTGCCGGCAGGACAGCATCTCTCTCTCTATCTGTCTCTCTCTGTCTCTTTTACTCTGCGTGTTATCCTGCGCCACGCAATGCACTTATTAGCTCCACATATTTTGAGGTAATATGCCAACCAAACCATCAAAAATATTTAATCCAAAATAATTTTAATTGATTTTGGCAGAAGGGCAATTAAAACTAATATAGAATTTATATATAAATACAAGTGGTATAAAAAAATATAATTTATAAATACTATAAATAAATATTTAAAAATAAATCATTACTTTATTATTAATTATTTATTTATGAATATTTATTTATATTATTTCATAATTTATATTTATATGTACTACTTTTATTTTTTTCTTATATTTATTTATAGCATTTTTTTAATATTAATATATTTAGATTCTTACTCATAATTGCTCTTCTTTTATTTACATACAAATAATAGGAAATATTACACCAATTTAATTTCAAATTAAAAGTATTAAATAAATGAATACAATTAATATTAAAATAATTAAGTCAAGACTTTTGGTACTGGGAAATCCTTCACCTAGCCAGAGTTTTCCCTGAAATACTGGAATAATCAGGGCACTGGTAGTTCTGGTAAATTGTACTTCTTAACTTGAGAACTATGCAGAGTATTTTCTTATTAATTTATTGTTATTTTCATTTTTTGTTTTTAAAGATAATCTGAATCTGGTTTTGAGACCACAATTTGATTAGGGGGATCCCAGGAATTCTGGCTGCAACTTGAGAAAATAACAGCCAAGGGCCAGCCAGCCAGAGAGTAGCTTATTAAAAAGGATGCCAGAATGCCAGGATGGCCCCTGCTAATTGCCTAGAAAAATAACAAGCTGCTTTAGATGGCTTAAATGCAGCCAAAATGCAGTTTGAGAGATTTTCTGATAAATGCTGCAGAACAACAGAACTCACATTCCGATTTTTAAATTAAAAAAAAAAACTAAACTAACTAACTTTGGCACGTTTGCAATCAAAGTATTAAGAATCGATTCAATTTGGCCTTTGAATACTTAACATAAAACTTTTTGCCTTGGGTTTAAGTTTTAATATTTTTCATTGCGTAAATTAGTGTTATTTTGCTAAAACTAGTTGGGAATTATAGAGTCAAGCGAGTGATTTTTTTTTGTATTGTTATTATTATTTATTTTTTATTATTCATTTTTTATTATTCATTTTGTATTACCTAATTTTAATTTTTTGTTTGTTTTTAATTATTTATTTATTGATTTTTTTATATTTAATATAATTTATATTTATATTAATATTATTTTGTTTTTAATAATATAAGGTGTTGCAGTTAAACAATTATTATTATATTCTGTGCTCATTTTTTAATAGTTTAATGAATCTACATTTTAAATTTGAAAAATTTAAGAAATCAAAAGTACCCAAAACAAGGATATACAAAAAAGGGGAAAAACTCGCAGCAAATAAATAAAATCCACGTGTAAGTACGTCACGAATGCTCGACAATCTGCGGTTTAAATGCGCCACAGACAATATCCGAATATGGTTATTGGGCGCCGTAACTTTTATTTAACATTTAACATTAATTTAAAGCATTTAATTGCTGCGACTTTGCCGCAAGTCCGGGATTACCGAGGTGTGCCAGCGTTCACATGAGTTTTATGACAGCCGCCGTTGCCGTTGTCGTCGACAATAAAGAGAAATATAATAAAAAAAAATATATATATATATATATTTATATATATGTATATATATATGCGTGTGGCTCCTCTTTGTCCTGCATCCTTCCCTATTCCCCCACAGACACACACAAGCTGCAGCACATTGTGGCATTTTAAGCGGAAAATATGCCGCACTTCCGGTCGCACCCATACACAGAGAGCGAGAGAGAGGGAAGGAGAGCTAGAGTTGACTTGGTTACCGTTATAAGACAGGCGCCAAGATGGCTGCCCCTCGCGCTCCTGCCAGTGCTGGCTAATAGCCAAAAAGTTAAAAAAAAAAAAAAAAAGGGAGCAGGAAAAACAAAAGGAAATTCAAAATTATATTTAAATAAAATTTAATTATATAATTTTGATATATTTATAATTAATTTATTAATATAGTATAACATAATTTAATTAATTTATTTAATAAGGAATTATTTATAATTAATTAAAATAATATACATTAAATAAATTATACCAAATTTATTTTAATTTCAAAAAGCACAAAAAAAACCCCCAAACCGACATCACTGACGATGCTGGGCGCCTGGGCGAGCGAGAATTTACTGCCATTATATTTATATATTATTATTATAATGCCAGGATGGCAAACAAAGTGTTGACAGAGCGACAGGCAGGGCCCCAGGAAGGAGTGCCAAGGAGCAGGGTGCAGGGACCAAGGACCAAGGAGCTGTGCCAGCCTGACTAACCAAATACATTTTCGTTTCGTTTCATATTTAATTGCCTAATCGCACTTAAGACCGCCATTGCCGCCGCCGTTTCCGATTTAAGCCCAAAATCTTGGATTTAGACCCCACTTTAAAATTAAATTTGTTTAACTCTGCGGGGAGCAGCATCTATTTAAAGGATACTAATTGAATAAAGATCAGGTAATCAATATACACAAGGAGTTCTTTGGGGAGGAAAAAAAACAGGAAAAGTCTAAAATTAGTAGAGGTAATGGAAGTCTAGCTGGTACCCTCGATAGTTTACTTTTACAGCGAACAACGGACCCTTAACTTGCCAGGATTAATTGCATTTTTGTTTGTGCCACCTTTACCTTTCATCTCCCACCTTGACCTCGCCCTAATTGATTTGATTTTTGAAATCCTTGATTTTGAACCCTCGGATTTATTACATTTATTGTGCCCCCTTAATTATCGAGTACAGAGTTTTATTTACCTTTGCCTTTAACCTTTACTTTTACCTTCACCTTTACCCTTTGCCGCAGTTTTGGGGTCTTTAATTGGAACAGGGGGAGTGAGAAAGGGGGAGGCGAAAATTCGGGGTACCCTGCAGGGGAAAAATCGAAATGAAATCCCCTGGCAAACAATGGACCAGTTGCGTTCATTATCATTCACCGCAATCGGAACGACACAACACGACATGGACAAGGGAAAACTTTCAAAGAGAAATTGCGACAACGAAACAGAGGCAGGGGGAAGCGGTAGGAAAACCTAGGGAATATCGAAAAGAAAAACAAGAAAAGCAGAGTTTTGGTGTGAAATTAAAATTGGAATTAAAAGCACAATGAAGGCAGACGGACAGACCAGAAGAGAAATAGCAACAAAGAAAGGGAGAATGGCAGATAAAAAGAGAAAGGGAGAAAGAAAGTAAGAGAGAGAGACAGAGATAGCTGTAGAGGGGTCTTAGTGCTAAATGATTTATGGCTATTTGTCCTTGTCCTTGTCCCTATGCAAATTGTTTTCGAGAATCTGACAAAACGATGAAGTTTTCATTAGGGTGCCATTAGAACTTCGTTTAAATTATGGTCCCAAACATCGTCCTTTACCAGCTTCTGGTCCCTGGCCCAGGTCCTTGCTGGCACCCCCCACCCCCCGCTCCACCTATCTTGACACAAATATAAGCCAGACTGGACACGTCGCTCTCGGTTAGTTGATAGATCGTTGGCCAAGGAATTTGCATTTCACTAGAAAAACTGGCAACTAAAAGGGATTTGCCAGGTATTGCTCAAGTTTTTAATCAAAAAATTAATGTGTATAATAAAAAAAAAAGAAATATTTTCAATTACAAATAAAATAAATACATAAAAATAAATACATATAAAAATAAATAAAAATATAGAAACTTCAAAATATTTTTCCCGTATCTGTGCCTCCACAAAACCATTGATGGCAATATTATATTGCCATTGTTAAATTCTTTTTAAATTTTTAAAATAATACAACAAAATATATTTAATTAATGTATAGTTAAAACAATTAATAAAACGTGTAATCAATTAAAAAAATTATAATTAAGATTACCCTTTTTTTTTTGCTATACTTCCATTATATATTTTATGATTAAAAGGCACAGTGTCATAACACCTTAAGTATTTTACTAATTTATCGTTTTTTTTATTTTAAAATTGAAAAAATAAAATCGTAAGGTAAATTATTCAATTTAAATAAATTCTTAAATTAATTATTATTATTCTCTCTCCATGACAGTGACAAAACCACATAACACATTTGTTACTAATCCAAATTCTTGAAAGCAACACCAGGAGTAGTGTCATAACCTCTTCAGTATTTATTTATAAATAATATTAAATTATGAATAAAAACCTATTTCCTGCTATTAGTTTTATTGAATATATTTAAAATAAAAAAGCTTCTGGAAATACTGAAAACATATTCGTTGAGTATCCATAATGGAGTACTTAACCTAAACTCTAGATTTCAGTCATCACTTATTTTTTTTGAAATATGTCGTTATATTTGTGAAAGGACTTGAAGCTCATCACTCGGGTTTGAGCTGTGTCGCACCTGGGGAAACTAATTTGAAAGTAATTTTCCACCTTCATATATGTGTGCGTGTGTGTAACCCCCTCTATATAATCAGTTGCCAAAATGGTGACTTGCCGTAATCGATCATCCCACGCACATTTGCAATTTGTATAAATTATTTACATATTGATTTATTAGTTGAAAATTTAATATCTAATTTAATGGAGGGGTACCACTGGGGGGGTAAGTAAATTTATGCAGCTCAGCTAACGAATTTATTATTATACTTGGGCGCATAAATTGAAAAATAAATGCGACTGTGCCTATTTTGTATATATTTTTTATTCCTTCCTTCGTTTTTTCTTTTTTTTTTAGCCGTCGATAACCCTTTGGTAAAATCTGAAACGTGTTTGTGTTCGAAGCTAAATGAAAGTGTTGTGTGTGTGTTTGCTTGTGGGTGTGTCTGTTGTGTGTGTGTGGGTTTGCCTTCGAGTGTCCTTGTGTGTATCCGTGAGCCTGTTTGTTTACTTGTGCCTTTTGCGCACAGAAGAGGCCGTAACTCAAAGCAAACCCCCCCGCCATGGCTTTTCTCAGTATTTTCCCGGCGCACACACACACACACACACATCCAGCACACACACATAGCACATTCAAAGTTTATCCAGCGCCCGTTTTGCACATTAATTTACTGACCTTTTTGCACTTTTTCCATAGTTTTGCAACCGCACCGCCCCCTTAAAGGCATGCCACACTGAAAATATCTACGGAAAGTCTTTAAAAGCCAACTTAAAAATTTTTTAAATAAAAACTAAGTTTTACATATTTTTGAATAATTTTTTTATATTTTTTAAATATTTTTAAAGGGTTTTATTTAACTTATAAACTTGACACAGACCTCTTCAGTAGCCTATTTTCTCACTGTGTACGAATAATAAGCGGCCAACTCGCGGCCGTCCTCCAGCAGCTTGGCCAGGACCAGCAGGAGGATAAGGAAAAAAAAAAAAAAACCCCAGTGACCGGTGACCGGTGACCAGTGACAGTAACCAGTGACTGGCCAGAAGGACGAGGGCAGGGCAGGGACAGGGCTGAGAAAGAGAGGCTGTTACAACGTATGATGAATGTGTGACACTTTTGCAGCTTGTTTGTTTGTTTATTGTTCGTGCCACAAGCCCCCATACCAGCCCTCGAGGGGGTGGAGAGGAGGAAAAACTGAATGGGGAAAATCAACAGTCAGCGGGGAAAATGTCACGAATTGAGAATTCTCTTTAGGGTTTCACTGGAAAAATAGCCAAGAATAATACAAATCGGTGCGCAGCAATGCGTAAGATCGGAGATGGGAAAAAATATCGTAGGAAAGAAATCGATTAAATCGATATTTTTAAACTATAGAGATAAATTTATATTTATAAACAAAAAAATAATATATAAAAATAAAAACTGGGGTTAGATAATAATTCTTTAAAAACCAAATAAGATAAAATCAACCGGAACCAAAGGAATCGATGTTAAAATCGATTTTCCTCTAGTTCTTATCGGAGATTATCGACCTGAACCAAAGAAATCGATGTTAAAATCGATTTTCCTCTAGTTCTTATCGGCATTATTCTTTAAGAGATTGTAGTGTCAATTTGGGGGTACGAGGATATTAAAAAAATAATAATAATTGAGCGAGATATTCTTATCGATATATCTGAATGTCCCTTTCGATACATATAATGCTTCCGTTTAAATCTAAATAAGTTTTTTAAAAGTCCCTTTAAAATTCAAATAAAAGAATATGAAAATTCATTTTCCCTCCACTCGTTCACCTTTGTTTTTATTTTAGTTGATTAAAATTTTAGGTATTCAATCAGTTTGCATTTCCTTTTCGCTAATTAGGTACTGCTTGAGTATCTGGCCCATTCCTTAAACGATTTTCTTCCTTTTCCAAACGATTTTTCCTTTGTTTCTTGCAAGTCCAATCCATTTCTTCATTCCCGTTGCATTCTTTTTCCGCTTTTCCTGCATTTCCGTTATCCGGTTTCATTGATTCCATGATTCCATTGTTCCAAAAGGACCCTTCGTCGGTAGGGAATCTGAGTGAGAGAACTTTTGTTTGTTTGCTTTTCCCATTTTTAGCAGGGGAGAGTTTTATAAATTGTATCTTCTGGTCCACACATATAAGCATATGCAGATTATTTCGCCTATGTGTGTGCATGTGTGGGTTCTGTATTGTTTGGTGTGTCCTTTCATTTTCCAATAACGGAAAAGCAATAAACGTGCCCGAAAAACAAGTTTTCCAGCTACAAACTTGGCACCACATCTGAAGCTGAAGTTAAATTTCCGGATTTTGGGTAAAGTTGAGGGGAGTTTGAGGTTGATTCAAGATGATCCTTAAATTCAACATGATGTCTTGTGTGCAAAATATATATAAAATATATAAATATTAAAACTAGCAATAAATATTTAAAAATCCGGCATTGGCAATGGTCTCTCCTCCCGGTGGTTCCTCAGTTTTGTCTGCAAATTATCCAGCTTGTTCACCATATCGGAAACCGTTTTGTGAATCATAAATGGAAAATTTGAACCTGAGGAGTCATCTTTGAGTTGCACTATAGGGTTAATAGAGTCCAATGACTCACCATCACCAAGACCACCAGTCTGGCTACCGACCGTCACACTATTAGACGCCTTCTTGAGCTGGCTTGTCTTTAGCTCATCCTTGAGATCCCTGGCCTCATCCTTCACACGCTGCAGCTCCTCCTCCAGCTCCTGCTTCTCCTCTACTTCCAGCTCCAGCAAGGCATACTTTTCGTATTGCTCGAACAGTAAATCATCGGCGATCGCCTTGCTTTCCTTGGCCACGCGCTGAGCCTGCTCAAGGTCATCGTTGGTTTGCTCCAGAGCACGAAAGTCTATCTTCAAGGTCTCGAATTTCTTGGTCACCTCGGCCAGCTCATTTTCAAGTTTGGAAATTTCCAAGCTTTGCGAGTTTAGTCTGGCCAGAAGCATCTCGTTCTCCCGCTCATAATTGGTAGCTTTGATCGCCAGCTCATCGAGACGCTTTTGATTCTGTGCTAGGGTGGCGTCCATTTCGATTTCCATGTCGCGGGACTGCTCCAGGAACTCATTGTACTCCGTTTTGAGTTCCATCAGCTCTTGGAGATGCTTATCGGAGCGCAGCTTCCAGTATTGGCTCTCGTCGTCGACGCTGCCAAACATGGGTAATGGATTCATCTTTTACGGGTTTTCTTTTCTAGATTTGGTTTTTGCTTTTATTTCTGTAGCTTTTTGTTTGACTTTATATTGGCTCTACACTGATCTCACTGAGTGAACTAGGAATAAGGCTCTGACTGTAAAGGCCAGGCCAATTTATTTGGGGCGGTTTTTTATATGAAATCCAAGCCTACTTATAAAATATACAGTTCTAAATCTAATAATAATGCAATAAATTAATACAAGAAAAAATAATGATATATTAAAGAAATAATAATAACAAAATAAAAAATAATTATATAATAAATAATAAACAAAATATAATAAAAAATAATTTAATAATAAAAAAATAATGATATAACATATAATTAATAATAATTAATAATATTTAAGAAAATACATTTAGTAAAACAAAAAATAATGACATAATAAATACTTAATAATTAATCAAATAAAACCAAAAAATAAAGATATAATACAGCTATACGGGAGTTGTAATATCTTAATAAATATATATATAATAAATATATATATAATAAATAAATTGAAATTGAAATTGAAATATAGAGATCGACTAAAACTCATTTAATATTCAATAAAAATATATTTTTATAATTAATTTTTATACCCTTGCTGGGTATTATAATTTCAGTCAGAAGTTTGCAACGCAGTGAAGGAGTCGTTTCCGACCCTATAAAGTATACACTACTGGCCGAAATAATAAGTACATGCGTATGTGGTTTGTTTTAAGTCCTATAAAATTTCTTTAATAAACTTAAGGAAAAAACCCACTTTATTTTTAGTTTCCGTACTTATTCTAGATAATAAAAATAACTGCCTAAAGGATTTTACATTTCAAATTTAGCGACAGGGGTCAATTTTATCCAAAAAGCCTGAAAATGAGTTGGCCAAAATAATAAGTACACCCATTCTTCTAAGCCTAGAACTCGGAACGTATTAGATATTTTGCACTTCTGTTTTCTTATTAGTTAACTTAGATTAGTATCCAATAAAACCACACTCGTTTTAGGTAACTTCCGCTATTATTTTTGGCATTTTAGCAAGAAGTCTGTTGCAAGTCACTACTAGAAACTCAGACCATGTTTCTTCAGCAAATCTTCACAAATCTTCAAAATTTTTAAATGTATTGGTTACAATACGACGTTTTAAGTTTACCCATAAAATTTTGATTAGGTATGAGTTCGGAAACTGACTTTTCCAACCCATGACGGTTACTTTTTTGTCCCTAAACCAGGCCATGATGACTTTTAAGGTTTACTTTGGATCGTTATCTCGTTGAAAAATCTATCGGAAGGGCATGTTTCCCTAAGCATATGGTTAGAAGATGCCAGTTAAAAAAGTTTTATTTTCGAATTCGGTCGTAATACCATTTATGAGATGTATTTGCACAACGCCATGCCAGGAAAAACAGCCCCTGACCTTTATGCATCTGTCTCCGGGCTTAACTTTTTTTTTTCGCGTTTCAAAGCTCAATTTTTTGACTTTGGTTTGACGTACAAACCGTCTAGAATCGTTTTCAAAAAGAAATATTTTTGTTTCATTGCCCCAAAGTATTTTGTTTCCACCTCCGGTTCAGACCATACCATAAAAATGTTGCAAAGCTTTTGCTTCATCTGAAAAAATTTTCCTTGAAGTAATAGAACCTTTTGGGGTATACGTCCTTGTAATCCTGTCTCATGCAGTCTACGACAAACTGTTCGAGCTCAAATTTAAATGTCAATTTCGCCGGAAATGGCCTTGGATGACCAAACAGGTCCTTTTTGGCAAGAGAGAGGTAACTGTTATGAGATGGTCAAGTCAGTCTCCTATCATAAACCTAAACTAAACATTGTGGGGAAACTTAAAACGTCGAATTGTAACCAAAACATTTTAAAATGTTGAAGATTTGTGAAGATTTGCTGAAGAAACCTGGTTTCAGCTTCTAGTACTGACTTGCCACAGACTTCCTGCTAGAATGCCAAAAATAATAGCGAAAGTTACCTAAAACGAGTGTGGTTCTATTGGATACTAATCTAAGTTTACTTGTAAGAAGAAAGAAGTGAAAAATATCTAATACGTTCCGAGTTCTAGACTTAGAAGAATGGGTGTACTTATTATTTCGGCCAGCCCATTTTCATGCTTTTTGGATAAAATTGACCCCTGTCTCTAAATTTGAAATGTAAAATCCTTTAGGCAGTTATTTTTATTATCTGGAATAAGTACGGAAACTAAAAATAAAGTGGGTTTTTTTCTTAAGTTTATTAAACAAATTTTATAGGACTTGAAACAAACCACATACGCATGTACTTATTATTTCGGCCAGTAGTGTATATATTCTTGATCAGCATCAACAGCCGAGTCGATCTAGCCATGTCCGTCTGTCCGTCTGGGCGGGATCGGACGACTATATCATATAGCTGACATACAAATGTTCGATAAATTTTTAGAAAAAAATTATAACTTTGTTGTTTTTAAAAATTTTTACACAATTTTTTTAGATATGAAAAAAATACAAATTTGTCAAAACAAACTTCTAAAACTATTACTTAGTCTTTCATATTACACAAGCACTGATTATATACACGAAATAGCTCAAATCCAAACGGTAAAACAATATATTGCAAGATAAACTTAAATTTATAAGTTAGACAAATTAGATAAGTTATTTTATAAGATAGTCATCTAAGTGTCATTTCAAGGTTTTATGCCGTATTTTTCTTTGAAGCTATTAATATTAAATTTAAAAAAAATTACAAAATTGTACTAGGTCCATTCAGACAATAATTACATTTGAAAAGCAGTTCTAAACTCTGTAAAATCAAAATATTGAATCATTAACTTTAATGAAATTAAAGCATAAAAGCATACTAAATAAATAATACAATTTATTTATATATTTATTTATTTTATATTTTGAAACATTTAAAAGAAATACCTTAATAAAAGCTGCAGATACTTTCTGAACTAAGCTATTTTATTCCAAGAAATCTTTGGGTACAAAGTTTTCCCAGGCGCAGCTTTTAAACTTGTTCAAGGCCAAAATGCTTTAAAAGCTTCGAGGTCCTTGCAAAGCTTTCTGGTTAATTTTAAGATAGTTTTTCGAAAACTTAAATTACTTTTAAAGCTTTTCTATATTTTTATTAATATTGTATTAATATTTTATAATATATAATTTTATATTATATATTTTATGAATATTTTACATAAAGAAAAGGAAAAGTAACAGACAGAGACGCTCTCTTTAAGATTATATTATTTTTTTTAAGAACCCTTGCTGCCTAGATCATCGTATTAGACCAAAGATTAACGTTAACCCTTAACCAATCACCTGCCAGTAAACTATACCTTTTAATAGTAAGGAATTAGGTATTAATTAATGGTATTTTTATTTAAAATAAATATATAAAATATACAAAAAGAGCTTTATTGGGTAATATATTTCCCAACAAGTCTGTCGAGACAGAAACCGGAAATGAAAGTGCTTAAAATCTAAGCTTGTCTTGGGGTTCATTCCCAGGTTCTTTGCGCCACCAAGCTTAAAGCTAAAGCTACAGTCAACGCTATGGCCTGCGTTATCAGTTTTGTGAGTCCGGAAACACAGTCATGTCGAGTGCTCGCTGTACTTGGCCTAGAAAGTGACGGAGCTGGGAGGAAGGACCTGACCCCGACATGGGGCTCGACTAATCGATGGACACCAGGCGAGTGTCCAAGGCCAAACAAATGAGCGTAAAATGCGCAAGAGGGCCCGACCCAACCGAACCGAGCCGATCCAAACCGAATCGAACCGATGATCCCTACCAGAAATTTGCTAAATAAAGTTGAATTTATTTTGAAAATTATTTTAAAAATTGTAAAACGTTTGAAATTTGTTGGTTTTATTTTTTATTACAATTTATTTATTTAAAAATTTAACTAAATTCTTATTGTTTTGCAATAAATTCACGTGTTACACGCTACTGATGAAGGAAGCTGTCTTAATTATTTTTATTACTAAAAAACCATTGTTTTTTAATGGAAAATATATATTGTTTAAATTTTTAAACAGATTTAATTGGTAAGAAATTGCAAAAGAAACTTGAAGTTATTATTCTATTTCAAAAATTAAAAAAAAAAAATATATATATATATATAATAATATTTTTAAAAATATTTGATGATAAGAAAAAATATATACTCGACTTATTCCCCTATTATTCTGTTATTTTAATTTTTCAAGTTTAAAAAAATATATATATCTTAGAAACGGCATATCTTTTTGCATCTTAAAAAAAAGACACACAAAATTCAAAATAGAAAATCAGAAGCCTAGAGGACAATGTCTTCTTCATATCAAAATAGACGCAGGCGCACTTGGGTCCACGTTGCGTATGAGCCATGTGCTTGTGTCAGTCGTAGTACTACAGCACTAAACACTACACACAACACACACACTACACACACACACACCACACATCTACACCGCAGCACTACACAGTCTCGTGCTCCGGCCGCTGTTTTCCTTGTGGACACCCGGGGCTTTCCTTGGCGCATTCCTTGACTCCTTGCCATTGATGCACAGATGGCAATGTGCCGCCACCGAAGTCAGAGGTAAACATCAAAATTCTAGTTTTTTGTTTTTGTTTTTGGAAAACATAAGCAAAAGGCTTTGCAGCCGGCCGGCTGTCGGGAATAATCCTGGAATCCAGGAGAAGGAAATCGAGACCCGGAATACCCAGGTATCCCCAGATAAATATATATATGTATGTAGTTTGTGGTACATAAAACTGAGGCACACATAGGTAGCCCAGCTAGTGCTGCACTCACACACACACACGCAAGAGCGGTGTGACCTTGGGCCTGGGCTGGCCCAGGGGGCGGTACATCAGTGTGTAAAAAGGTGAAGCCAGTGGCAAAACAATAACAGAGGAAGTAGTAGTGATATAATAGAGAGAGAAGTATACAAAATTAATAAGAAATATATATTTCAAATTTAAGCATTAACTATTATATATATTTTATTATTTTCTAAGTTATTGCCTTAAAAACTTGGCTGGAATTCAAAATTCAAGCATTAAATATTATACAAAAATGATGTATATTATAAAAATACAATTACTACGATTCTCTGCTTTCCCTTGGAATTGGCTTTCCCTTTGAGTAT